CTTCCATAGACTTAAGAAAACCACTTAGGCCATCTCTGATGGTTTTTCAAAAAACATAAAGCCAAAAAAAGTGAAAAAAAAACAGCAACTACAAAAAGCAAAAGCAAAAAATAGCGAATCCAACAAGCAAAAAAAACAAGCAAATGCAAAAGCAAAAGCAAAAACACGCAAATCCAAAAAGCAAAAAAGCAAATTAAAAAGCAACAAACGAAAAAAGCGAACAAAATATTAAAAAGAAAGGAACAAAAACACTGAAAAACAGCGAACACAAAAGCGAAACAACAAAAGCAAATGAAAGAGCAAAAAGCGAAAACAAAAAAGCAAACAAAAAAGCAAAAAACACAATGAACAAGCAAACATTGAAAAACACAGAAAAAACACCGAACAAAAAAGCGGGAAAAACAACAAAAAACAAGCAACAAGCAAACAAACTCGGAAAAACTGCGGCCAAGCAAACAAGTGAAACAAAAAGCAAAGCAAGCGAAAACAACACATTGGAAAACAAACGAAACAGCTAAAAACAAGCGCACAAAAAGCGAAGAAAAGGCAGAAAATTGCATTCGCTTTTTGGATTTGTTTTTTTTTGCTTTTGCTTTTTGTAGTTGCTTTTATTTATATTTGCTTTGTTTTTGCATTTTTGTTATTTTCAAAATTAACAGAGTTAGCCTGGGTCCGGCGATCACAACCATAGACACAATCCGACCTTGCAGCCAGCAAACAAGCGCGTATCACACCAGATGTACAAAAAGGATGAACAACTAGCTGGTGCATACACCATGCCGGCCCTCATCTCCACAGAAGAGCGAAGTTGGATAAGCGAACAAATCCCTTGATCCATCTGCATGGAGACAACTATAGACAGCCGCATTGATCCTAGATTCTAGATTCTCAGACCATGGGAGGCACTCCCCTGGTACCACAGCAGAAAAGTGCGAAGAAGAACTGCTTGGATTTGCGCCTCGACGAGCCCTGGTCCACGCAGACCTCAGGTCTGCAGGGAGAAGACGAAAGCGTCAGACAGGATGTCATGGCTTGGGATCTTGGATGAAGATTTCGATTTGAGTAAGGGAGCAAGACTGGTCTGAACAGGCTTTGCATACGATGGTAGATGATGCCCAGCTGTGACTAGCCGAACACTTGACATGAAATGTGACACGTGGCTCAGCAGGGTTCCGTGAAGTACCAAAGCTGAGAGGTCCTAGACAGTCAGTTCCCCAAAAAGCATTGAGGTCACTCCAGAAATCAGGAATTTGGAAAACGTGACGTTCCAATGCTTTTGATCACAAAAAGAACAAGCCCTTGACAGTGGGGCATGAGAGGGGTCTCTCTTTACCTCTTGTACTTGAGTTCTGCATAATACTGAGATGTGCAGGCAGAACGTGACTTCTGCACCTCTGCAGGAGCGCTCAGTTTGGCGCTTGCATCCGCTGGTTCAGTGGACTCGTTGCTGTTGTCCTGGGAGCTCTTCTTTGAGAGTGGCAAAGGCCTGGACAGACTGAGGACATGGAGAGACATGCCAACGAAGATGGGTGCAGTCATTGATTCATGTGGGTATCATGAACCGATGGACTACTGGTGCGGGTTCAGTTTGGTCGGTTCGTCCGATGGATATGCAGATGTACAAATAAGCTGCTCTCCAAAAGCAGATTCATGTGCATGTCCGGCAAACCTGGGGAGGGACTGCGTCCATTTTTCCTTGATTCTGTCATGAATGGCTCAATGGCTTGCATACGCTTGCATGCTTCGTACAGGTTGGAGTGGAGAGAGTCTTCAAGCCTTACCCGCGAGGCGGGCGCTCAGGAGAGTCTTCGTGCTTTGAAGATTGCTCGCTGGTGTCATCGAATGCCAGGTCGCATAACTTGGCAGCCGGTGATTCTGTGGATCTAAGATGGAGCTGCAACTCACAGCGGTTGTGGTTCGAGGTGCAGTGACACCCCGTATGTTTTTTTGAATTATCCTTTTCCATCCTTTTCCTTTTCCTTTTGCATTTCCCTTTCCCTCTCTCCCTCTCTCCCTCCTGCACTCGCTCTCGCTCTCTCGCTCTCTCTCTCTCTGTGTTTGTCCCTGTCTTAAGGCTCTGCTTTTTCCTTGAAAGAGTCTGTGTTCGTAGCCGTTTGACAACGGCAGGTTCCAAAGCTGAGCCTTTTCACAACTGCGCCGCTGCCTCGTGTCTTCCTACTGGCAACTCGGCATGTAAAGTTGGACATGTCGAGCACAGATAGACATCGTGTTAAACTTACAGTAGCTACTAGTTACTAGTAGCTTCTTGCTACTAGTAGCTTAGTAGCAATGGCCTCCAACCTAGTAGCGATGGCCTCCGACCTACTAGCCACCTCCTCTCCTTCCGGGGTTTGATATGACTCCACAGACTTCAACAAGTGCATGGTAAAATACGTCTGAGGATTGGTACGCCGAAATGCTCAATGACGCCTCCCGAAACATAGCCTTCGCACGTGGTATCCATCAAGCGATTGGGAAAGGAGGCCGCGCAGCATGGCGCCCTTTAGTTTCCGATGTTTGCATCAGTCTGAGTTTCGGTTTTATCATGCGTGGAGGTGAAGATTGGTGTTTATTGTCACAGGGAAGTGGTATGTCCAGTATGCATCACTGCAGATACATTTTTTCGGGACTAGTGACTAGTAGGAGAGGCTGTATTCAATCAATTTGCTAGAGTTGAATGGCTATTGTAAGAGAGCCGAACCTGCACATACCGGCTGACGTCGGGCTCTTTCCCTTCCAAATGAGGTCGTTGACCTTGGGTGTGGCTGCGGGCTTTTGGCGCGTTTGGCATTGCGGCAGAATGCAACAGAAGCGCTCGCAGTAGAGATTGCACCACATTTGGCGCGCTTGGCACAGAGGCTCTTGCCAGAGGTGGGACATTCCAGAGACCATGAGTTTGCGGACCTTTTGAGAAGGTGCGAGTACAAATACACTACAAGGCTCTTCGCCACATTACTTGGCTAGGCCAAAGTGATTTGTGGAGACATTCGTGCTGTGATGGTGGATGAGGACCGCTGTTGTCATTAGAGGGTGTCATTGCTCCTCAGCTGTGCAAGGTGGCTTTGGTTTTCTGCCGTGTTTTATCAGAAGCAGCTGAAAGAAGCCATGTGAGAAAATTGATTTCGGCCAAAAGCCACTCAGCAATTGAGAATGGTGCAACATATGGAGGATCAACGCTTTGATCTGGTGGTAGCCGAACTCTTGGACGCTGGTGGATTGGGTGAGAAGATCGTGCCTTTCCTCCGACATGCCAAGAGCAGGACGCTGGGGAGTGGTCACGCCTCACGCCTCGTTTTTTGGGCAGGCTGAGGAACTCAAGATTCTCAAGTAGACTCAAGTAGACAGTTTAAAGGCGACTTGTTATTGGTTGCAAGTTGCTTGGATTGCGTCTTTGGGATCCTCTCCTTCGTCTTCGCCTCGCCTCAGCAGCCGCCGCTGGGAGGCTCTTGCGGCCAGGCGGCCGCTGTTTGCCAAGGAGCCTGCGCCTGCGTGCAGCTCTGCTGGATCTGCGTTTGAGTAGAGAGGGACATGGCCTCGTCGGGAAGCCCAGGTGATGGGGTGAAAGATATGGTGAAAGGAGTGGAAACTCATTGACTCATAGTATTGACTCATAGTGACTCATGATTTATGTAAAAGTACAACATGCTGTTGAATTCGATAGCCTTGCTTCATGTGACTTGAAGGATTTGTCCGCATGGGAGCCCTTTTGGGTCCCTGCGCGAGCGAGCTCTGGGGAGTGGTTGGGCATAGATCTTGATGCCGGTGCCGACTGGCAACCAGCTTCCTGGCCGAATTGGGAAGTTGTGAGCTGAAGATCTACTGCGGCACTTTTTCGTTTTAATTGATGACCTATTCAAGCATCTGAGGTGTCGGATGTTGTTGATTTGTTCAACTTGAGCCTCAGCACAAGGTGTATTTGCGTGTGATGGAACTCAAGGAAGATGCACGTGCTTTGTGATGTAGCATTGTGTCTTTCGTCAGGATGCACTTGGTGGTCTACAATTTGATTAAATAAAGGAAGGTGTCGGGGCCTCCAAAAAAAGCCCCTAGAGTGGTATTCAAGAAGCCCAAGTCCACCTTTGTTTTCATCTTCCTTTTCGCTCCTTTAAGGCTTCCAGTCCCACTTCCTTCTGGCTTGGGCCCAAACAGCTTTGCCCGTGGTCTACCCTCCTCGATGCGACACATGGATGGCCCGCGCGCTACCCATCCCAGGAACTTCGAGGCTTCTCAAGGCGAGCTCATTGAGGCGTTACAGGCGGGCAGGGGGGAGCACAGTTTTCCAACGACTGGATTTACCCAGTGCCTAGCTCTTGCAATCTGAAACGAAGGGACTTTGCCTTTTCTTAGACTTTCGACTGTTTCAGATTAAGGAGCAGGAGATCGACTTCAAGCTTTTTCCAGATGCCCGCAGATGCAATGCTGTCGCATGGTGGTTTGAAGCGGAAGCTAGTCCAAGATCAGAGTGGAGCACGTTCTCTTGTAGGGATTGCATGTCCCCCCAGGCTATTGCATGTCAATCGGTCAGTCGGCATTAGATGAATGATGTAAGCTTTGGAACTCTTTGTCTCCTTTTTGCAATGACAGTTGTGCTGGCAGATGTCACCATCACGCGAACCACGCCACACTGCTCAGCTGTGGCTGTCACCAAGGACTTGGGGATTGGAGAGCTAGGAGGGGCATTGCTGACTTGCCAAGATTCTCTAGACTCTAGCGCACCCAACTAGTCGCGTGCAGTTTGCCTAGCTGGACGACAGCAATCAAGAGCTTGCATCCCTGTGGGCAACGAGGGTTCTTTTTTTGTATCAATTCTATTGTTGTTGCACAGATATGCCGCACATTCGAGTCTGTCGTGTGGTCTTGCGTTCAGACATGTATTTTTTTGAGTCCAGGCTCTTGCGATCTGACCAGCGCTCCTTCGCGTTTCCGACCTGCAAGCTGTGAGCCAACACATTGGGTGCCTTTGCAGCATTTTGGAGCACCAACCGAGGAAAGGGGGAAGGGTTGAGGACTCCCAGCAAACTTAGAGATGTGGGTGACAACAGAGCTTTGACATCCTGGGCTCACAGGTGCTCCCAGTGTGTGATGAATGGACATAGGCATCCAATCCGGTCATCTATTTAGGTCTTGAAGGAGAGGGGGCACGATCAGTATCCAAACAATCAGGGTCAACTGAACTGTTCAACGAGCAAGCAGGCACAGCCCTGGTTTGCTTCAAGTTGAACTCAGGTACAAGCCGTAGCAGGCCGGGTGGGAAGGTTTATTTGGTGGTCTACTTGTGACAAACTGCCAGTAAGAGAGATGTAAGGGATTCGTTTGAGTCCGATGATCAGGATTCTCCAGGCGTTTGCCTCACCCTGGAAGGTCTTGGGCCTTTCGACCACTTCACGGGGGAACGTCACCTGCTCATGCGTGTGCGCACGGACGGCGTGCAGATCACCTGGACGCCGCTGAATGCCCCGGTGCCACAAGAGGACCATCCGCAGGTTGACAAAGGAAACCTCAGCAACCTGAGTTCGCCAAGGCAACTCTTGAGTTTGCTGGCTCTGGGGGGTGACATGTGCAGAAGCTTGCCAAATGCTGGGCCTGAACAGGACCACAGTTTCGTGGCTGCATGGCGTCAAGAAACTGCGGAGGTAGATCAACAGCTGCGAGGTCGGCCTGGAGCAATCGATCAGAAGCTGAGAGTTTTTTCGCACCGATGAGGTACTCTACTTGCCTATATATATATATATACACACATAAATAGTTCATTCACTTTGATTGCTCCAAGCCTGACAGGTCTTGTCCTCTGCACAAACTCTGTTCTAAAAGGCCAAACACACACACTCAGACCATCAAATAGAATAATGGAAGCTAAGTTTCCCAAAACATCTAGGAACCAAATCATTAGTGGGAGCGCTTCCTTGAAGAAGCGTGAGCTATCCTGCGTCCACATGTAGTAGCTTAAGTAGCTTGAGTAGCTAGTAGTTTCCTCCATTACTTCATCAAGCAGGCGCCTTACGTTATTAAGTAGGAGCGGGCTAAAACACACACACTTGAGAAGGTTGCTCCATGGAGCGCGATTTCAGGCTGCTTCGCGGTGTGCATTAGCCCTTTAGAGTTACTGCAGATTAGACCTTGACTGAAAAGAAAGTGCTGGGTCGGTCGAACAGAATTGTTGAAACATCGAATGAATGAAGATTAAAAATTGAATTGTGCAGGTACGCTGGGATGATCAGTCCCAGTATCACCAAGGCTTAGAGAGCGTCTTCGTTGGTGGTAGACTCTCTGCCTTGCTGCCACCCCCTGCTATTGTACAAGGTCTGAAAAGTCATAGGAATAGAAATAGCTAGAGTAGTGTCCTTGGAAACAGGAGTGGACACACACAATGAGCCGAGCACGGCGCAACTAGAAAGGTAACTCTGCTGGCGGATCGTCTTTTCCTCGAAGCGACACCTGAGCAAGTAGATCAAATTTGTTTCTCCGTGGTCGTAGCGCCGCGGCGCAGTGTTCTTTTGCTTTTTCTTTTTCTTCGTCTTCTTCTTCTTCTTTTTCTTTTTCTCTCTCCTGTTTCCTGCCAGGGGGGTGAAGGGGTGTTCGGGCGTGCATTGACTAAACGAGCCTGGATGCCACCTAACCAGCCTGAAGCAAAGAACAAGACAAACGAAAAAGGCAAGGAAAGAAGAGAAAGGTGCAGGGGGTGCGGGGGGCAGGCAGGGCGTGCGTTGACTAAACGAGCCTGGATAATACCTAAAAAGCCTGAAGGAAGGAACAAACGAAAAGGCAAAGAAAAGAAAAACAAGAAAAGGTGCAGGGGGTGAAGGGTGGGGTAAATGCTCTCATGAGCGAAGTGAAGCCGAATCGGCGCAGTGAAAAATTAAAAGTTGGAAAAGACTTCTCCGGTGTGAAACTGATTCAGTTGAACTCTGCAGTATATTTCAGTGGAAAATTCAGTGAACTCTGCAGTAACATTTCACGTGTGCCAGGTGAGACATTCCAATCAAGCTGATTTCAAACAGGAAAATTCAGTCGAGTAAACTTCAGAAAATCTTCAGGAAGACTTACTCCTGCGGTGAGGAGTGAAAAGGTTCTTGCAGTAACGGCGCCCCGTAGGGATCACACAGCTTACCACAGTGGGAAGAAGCTGCGAAGACACACTTGAGAAGGTTGCTCCGTGGAGCGCGATTTCAGGCTGCTTCGCGGTGTGCATTAGCCCTTTAGAGTTACTGCAGATTAGACCTTGACTGAAAAGAAAGTGCTGGGTCGGTCGAACAGAATTGTTGAAACATCGAATGAATGAAAACTAAAAATTGAATTGTGCAGGTACGCTGGGATGATCAGTCCCAGTATCACCAAGGCTTAGAGAGCGTCTTCGTTGGTGGTAGACTCTCTGCCTTGCTACCACCCCCTGCTATTGTACAAGGTCTGAAAAGTCATAGGAATAGAAATAGCTAGAGTAGTGTCCTTGGAAACAGGAGTGGACACACACACAGACGGAAAACCGAGTTCGGCCGCTCCGCTGGTCCAGACCTGGAGCGACATCTTACGACGGGCGGTGACTTGGCACGCTTGGCCGCAGTGAAAAGCGCTGCTTTGATGCTGGCAGCTCAACCGAATCGCTTTGGATTGGAGGCCGAAGCGCGAGTCAGCCCGTGATTGACAGTGGGTCAACCATGGTCAGTGCACGGCGTAGCTGCATGGTCATGATGGTTGCAGGCCACGCCAGAGGTGGTGACCCGCCTGCTCAAGGCCTTGTTCGTGTGAAAAGAGAGGGCTGCCACCCGGACTGCTGCGCAAGTGCTGACCGTGTTTTGTCGACTCCGAATCGAGAGAGTGAGACACGATCTGAGGTCACTATGGTGGAGAAGGCTTGCTGCATCATCCGGTCACCCGGTACTTGTATGGTCCGTATGGTGTCAATGCTTTCAGATTTTCATAAGCTCCTCAAACCTTACTGTAGCAGTTGAGACTCCCAGAGTCACTAGTCACTAGTCTCTCAAATGCATGATCTTCAAGCCTTGTAGACATTGTAGTCCATGTGGTAGCATGCTTGCGACACTTTTTGCGCAGCCTTGCCAGGAACTTGCAAAGTCCAAGAAGATCTCTGCAGCTGCTGGTGGCGTCTGGGGCTCCTCAACCGAGGTGGGATCTGGGGCTCCTCAACCGAGGTGGGATCAGGTTCGACTGTCTCTGGACAGCCCAACATGTTCCAATGAGCTGTGACATTTCAACAAGGCGCTCTGTTTTGAACACCTCTATTTTTGAACCGCCCCGGAGAACGTTGTGCTTAGAAGATGGAAGAGACGTCGCCTATTTCGCCGCCAACATCGAAGAGACTCGAGGGACCGAGTGCGACATGCCGCAGGCAGAGTCTTCCAAAAGTGCTGGAAAGAAATGGCGAGAAGAGGCAACCCCTTTCTTTGACATCCGAGCATATCCGATTTATCTACAAGTTAGCTATGAGTGTTTGAGTTTTGGCCAAAGCATTGTCCCCAGTGCGGATGAGCGTATTTGCTTGGGACAGGAAGAAGCAATGGATGGGTTTCTGAATGTTTGTTATCCCTGTGTCCATGAGAGATTAAAGTATGTCACTTGAAGCATTTCAAACCTGCTTGGCGCAGGTTTGCAGCTACCTCTCATCACCTCGCGAAATGCAAATAGCAGGCGCCAGCAATGCCAAGCATGTCCACTCCCTCGGTCCAGAGGACTCCACGTCAAAATGACTGATTTCCAGGGACGAATGCAGATGCTTTAACGATAAACTGGATGGCAATCAAGGAAAATAGAGAGCAGAATGAACAAATATACAAATATACTATATAGATCTATATAGTAGTATATAGAATGGGCTAACGCCCGGGTGCCGCCGACCCCCTTGTTACAGGAACAGGTTCCGTCGGTGTCATGAGTGTGCTTCAATCAAGCAAGTGGACACAGATGAAATATGGCACTGTAAAAAGACTGAAAGAGCTTTAATGCTACACCAATCACGCAACACTTTGCAATTCTTCCCACAGTCCACCCATAACTGGAGCAAGACGTGTTTTGTTGGAGAAAACAATTGTGTTCTTCTAGATGTTCGTTCTTCATCACCTTCTTCAGAACTGGCATCACTAAGACACACCTTTCGTACCAACAGGAAGGATAGAAGAAAAGAACATACCGCGTTGAATAACCTGTTTCCTCCACCCTGGACGGTCCGCGCACGAACAATGGCCCCATGTCCGTGGACCCACGTCCGCTGCTGGGGCAGATCGACTCCACGTGTCTGTGGTCGGGTGTTTTTGGTCCGAGGGATGGTGGAGTATGATTCAGTATGATCGTTTTCTCAGGGCAAGTAGAAGGGATCAGAAGGGGTTTTGGCAGGTATTGGAGAGGATTGCACAAAGATCCAGGATCCAGGATGTTCTTGTTGAGAAGGCAGTGCACGCGGTCGACCGTGAGCCGGACCCACTGAAGATGCAGTGTTGTGAGAGAAAGGGATCAGTTGGATGCAGACCATACGTTTGTATACAATGCAGGGCCAGACGGCAGCGGCCAGTCTAGCGTCGCTTTTGGAACCCTACAGAAAAAGAGGTCCGCAGCCGCATAGCAGCAGGCGAGGAGATGGCCACAGACCAGTCCTGCTGCCCTGTAGACTGCCCAAAACACGCTGGTG